GTGGTCCATCTGACTCAAAGAGGGCTGGGCGGTAAGCATCAGGCCAGACACGGGCTCCCGTACCGTCGCTTGGCATCGTAAATATGCAAAATCACGTAGGCATAACGTTCGAATATATATGTGGATGTTAGAGTGAACACGGTCGGTTATAGTCAGAATGGCATTACCGATGGACACAAGGAAGACGGGAATAACCATTTTTGGCTTATTAGCCGTCAGCAGCCAAACCATACCGAATCCCAGGTTTTGGAACCTCAGGGACTCGGGCCCACATTCTGTTGAGCAGAAGTCCAACGATCTAAACATTGAGTCAGGGGCTCTCTGTCCTGTCTCTTCTACTTGTTGGTGGTCATTCGGTTTAAAATAATAACCGATATGCGATTGTCGGTGACATTTTAGATCGAGCCCCATGGTATAACGGGACGAATATGTCCCATAAGGCGATCGGTGACCACCCCTATACCACGGCGTTGGTCTTATTTTATCTTGCAATTCTGATTTAGAACTCCCACCGGAAGTCACCTAATGAAGGGAAATTGACGGATCTGAACTGCCGACAAAAGCAAGTGAACATGGATTAGCTGGCTTGACCCCTATCCACAGCTAGTCATACCGCATAACACCGCTCGGGAAGCTCCATCTCACAGATTTCTATACGCTATGGAGCTGATATCGCACAGGACTCATTGAATTTTACCATGGATGTAGACTGTTCTATCCACTTTACAAGGAGCATATATATAGGCGTGCTGGTGTGATACTGTATGAATATACAGTCCATGGTCCCAAAAATCTTGTTATTGAGAACTTTTAAAACAGAATGATGCTCTGTCTTCAATCATAGACATAAAAATGACGTAATCTGTTATCGAATAAGTACAAAAATATCTCTGCCTAACTTTTCTATAAAATACACTTGAATTCATATGGTCATCGGAAATCAATACGATGAATGCATACAACTTATGTAGTCATTTCTTGCGCAGCGTGGTTTATTCAGACAATCAAAAAGAAGCTCAGTCAGAATCCAACATCCTCCCGTGACTTAGAGTGAGTAACCGATCTCACGAAATGTTAACTGAAATACGTTTTTGATTAGGAAGGATTACTCAGGCGCAGTAGTAGTACTGATTATCTTGCGCATGATCCTATAATAATTCGCACTCGACAGGATGTCAGCTTTTGAATACATTGCTTTTCAATCTCGTGTATCGTAAATGTTTCTATTCATGGGACTTTTCAGGACCGCACCATGCCTACACATACAGTATCTATATAGTACACATATAGTCTGTCCATTTTCCACTGCTTTTCATGTAATTTGCAAACTAGCCTGCATTCATTGCAAAATTTTACGAACCATATATGATGTCTTTTTAAAGGCATAGAATAATATGCGATTTTTACGTGGAACGCATGTATCTTGTAGACTTAAATCGCTAAACGCTAATGCAACGACTGATCAGGCTCCAAATTATCAGGCAGTTAGAAAACATTTTGAAATCTTTATACTCCTTCTTCGAGCATAAAATATAAAAAGGACGTGATTCTTTATCGAACGACTGAAAGGAAGCATATTTCTGTTCGTGGATTTTATAAAATATAGTTGAATTTGCAAGACCATCGAAAATCAGTGGGAAAATGCATGTTAATTAAGTAGTCATTTTTTACCGAGTTCGACTTCTACAGAAGATTGAAAAGCCATGTATTCAAAAGCTGACATCCTGCCGAACGCGAATTATTATAGGATCATGCCACAAGATAATCAGCATTACAACTGCGCCTGAGTAATCCTACATAATCAAAAACGCATTTCAGAGTTTCAGTCAATATTTTATGAGATCGGTCACTCATTGTAAATATCCTGGGATTATGCTGCATGATAATTAACATAACAATCCGAGTGCTCCTCCACGATTGCCATGTGAGACTTCACAAGCACTGTCGGAGCATTGACCAAAAGAGGACCAGATGCTATAAGCTCATGGTTGAGATTGGCGCAAATCCGCTCCTACAGGGGATGACTGAACGAACCCGCGAACAGAGAACAATACGCGACTCAGAACCGGATAACAAATTCCGACAGCTACCCATTCAAGGTTGCCCAAAACGATAAGGTGGTGCCCAACCTGTCGTCAGAAGAGCTGGAGAAGGATCAGGTGCAGGTTTTACGGCATTCATTCACTGCTGACGCCAAATCTGTTAACATGATTAATGCGGTGGAATCGGTCCTTAGTCAGCCGGGAGCGACAGAGGAGACTAAGGGACTCATTTGACACCATGTGTCGTTTCTCCTCATGGCCCACAGGTCGCGGGAAATGTTTTCCAAGGCCGGTGGTGATGCGCTTAGGGGACTAAAGACCGACAAAGACCTGGTCATCGCGCCAGCGGACGAGGGACGTCCTACGGTTGTACTGGACAGGACAGACTACATTCAAAATACCAAGAGTTCACTAGGGGACCGACAGTTCTACGTCCCTGTACAACGAACCCCGTAAAAACGATGACACGCGAAAATTATGTCATGCTTTTGGCTCTGGAGAACTCAGGTGCATTAACAGCGACCGCCAGATGTGTGGCCGGACCCTAATACACAGCTTTGGTCCGATCCTGTGGCCTCCCTAAGGTTCACAAATAGGTGCTCCTCTCCGACCCACCGTGTTGCTCAAAGGTACTCAAACGTACGGACTGGCAAAATGGCTGTTCTGACACGTCACCAGTTAGTGGCCCCTGAGTCAGACACCACGGTCTATTCGTCAGCACAATTCCTGGATAAACATAATGGGGTAAGCCTCCATCCAAATGAAATCATGGTATCTTTTTATTTTACGTCCCTTTTTACTTCTATTCCCTACGACCTGCTGATCAAGAACATCGAGCTGCTCTTACAAAGTAAATATGAGGGAACGAAGAGTTGTCTTGGGCCTGCCCGAGGCCTTCTGCTTCTGAAGTTCTGTCTCAGGAAGTACTTCACGTTCGACGGGACAATGTACGAACAGGTGAAGGACACACCAATGGATTCGCCGATTTCGGTATTCATCGCCGAAGCGGTTCTGCAACGGTTAGAATCGCTGGTCTTCCAACAACACAGACCGAAATTCTGCGCCCAGTATGTGAATGAAGCCTTTGTCGTTATCGACCGGAATCAACTGCTGACAATCAAGAGACGTCTGATTGCGGTCTTCCCCGGCATACAATTTACGGTGGAGGAGGAAGAGAACAACCAGCTGGCCTTCCTGGATGTCCTCGTATACCGCAAAGATTGAAGTGGATTAAAGACCTAAGTGTTCAGGAAAGTGACAAATGCGATGCAAGTACTGACCTTCAACAGCAACTACCCAGTCAGACACAAACGCAGTTGTGTAAGGACGCTCTATCGGCGTGTCGGAGCGCACTGCAGTGAGCCGGAAGACAAGATTGCCGAGCTACAAAACCTCCGACGGGTCGTCAAAGCCAATGGATAGGCGTGTAAATTCTTCAACCGGTGGACAAGCAAAGGCGACGATAGGCCAACCGGCACGGACCTCAGATTTTGGCGAGCGTTTTCATATGTCAAGAACGTTATGGAAGATTTCGACTGCCTTTTTGGCTTGGAGTTGAATAAGGACCGAAGGCAGCCACCAGGCGTCAGAAACTGAAACCGAAGGACCCACTGCCCAGGCAAGAAACTTCTGGATTTGTCTATCGAATCTGGTGTAGTTACGGACAGAGAAACTACTTCGGAGAAATCGGAAGACAGCTTCAAACGCGAATGTCCGAACACGCGGCAACAGTGAAGTCGCCAGCTCTCAAGCTTCGGCTTACTCGACGATATACGGCCATACATTCAAATTCGACAGCCGCGTAAACCGGGAGCTATTTGAATCATGGTTTACGGGCCCCAATCAATTAACAAGTGCCATGATCTTCCCCTTCCATACTCAGCGCTGAGGCTTCGTCTAGGCGGAGTAATTAGCCCCACGTGGAGCGCACGGGCAAGCACTGTTCCCAACGTCAGGGTTGTTGGGTCAAACGTTAGAGCAATCATCACACCAACATTCAACACCCATGAGGAAATTGCATCGATTTACGACGCGAATGTCAACCATCGAAAAGTCAGCACACCAAGTGCAGCAATCCCTGATGAAGAGGGAAAACATGAAGTTACATAGGTATGCGGTCGCATGGTTACCGCATCCTATGAATAATAAAGTCTCTGGTACATGAACTCCCCGTATCTGCTGATGAAGTCGGGCAGGAATCCGAAACGTCAGGCAATTAAGGCTCTTGTTCCGGCGATCATGTCTCCTTCTTCACGACTGCTTCGTGCGACTCATCTCTTCGCTTCTGCTGGTAATCCTACCCAAGTTTCATTTTCGGACTGAAAACGCATTTCAGAGTTTCGGTTGACATGATGACGTCGCATCCGACGATGTCCACCGTGTGCTCCACAGTAAACTGAGACAGGCTCGGTGACTTGGGCGTGAATAAGTTTATTGTGAAAGTGGGCTTGCGAAGCATCTACCGCACTCCTTCCTCCCCTCCTGCCTGTGCCCGGTGTCAAGAAACAGACAAGGAGACAGTAGGCAGGGAGGGTGGAGGTGGATGGGGCGGCCGAATCCGCACCTTAGTGCACAACTTCACAACCCTGGTCCACAACAAACAATTGATCAGGATGCCGGTAAATTTCCAGCGCATACCAGGCTTCGAGGTCCATGGTTTGCTGATCATGGGATGGCATATGCTCATTAACCTTGGGGCCCTTTGGATAGCACATAATATAGCACATCTACTTACTTACTTTTCACTTTTCAATGGTCTTTACGGGTGGGTAATTCTTCACTAACAACCATCTGGTAGGTCAATATGGAATGACGGATTTCGAGCTGACAGATAAATATTACGCTTATACGTGTGAAGGCCAGATGTTTTCAGCGAAGAAGTATTCTCACAAAATTAATCAAACATATTTTTTGAATAAATTTGAACAGGAAAAACATGGTAAAGCATAAGGCTTTAATGATCTCATAGATGTGACTTTACACACGCATCCGGTGAATACTGGCCACGTTATGTATACTATGGTACTCTCTAAGACCCTACTTCCAGCGGCAACTGAGCATAACCTGTACTTTCAGGAAACCGCGACGATATGGAAGAGAAAACCAGACCTGCGTAACCAAATTGATCACGTGATTCACTTGGTGAGAGCCAGTGTAAGGAATAATCCTTCTTCTTCTCTCGTTCCTTCGCCCCCCACCGGGCTAACATGTTGCATGTTGTGTAACCCCAATCACGCTTGACGAGTTTTTTTTGCTGTGATCAAAACTCACCAACCTCCGGCTTCGCACCAGACCCAACCGCATGTCTGATCAACATTCCCTGACTTTTGTGTATGTATCCCGTCTGCTTGCCCTAGGTTTTTTTCTTAATAAACCGCCAGTTTTTTGAATATGCAATGACCGTTCGCTGCTGAATAAGAGATCGTAAAATTTATGGCACCTTTAAATCCGCACATTGCGGTTTTTTGTGATGTTGAAATTCGGTTAAATGCAAAGGTAAATGCATCCAGTAGCCGGGTTCGGTTATTAGCATGGACTTTATTTTCTTTCGAAAAGGTGTTGCTTGTGTCAACCTAAGGTTATCACCAACTAGCACTATTGAGCAACTAATCCAATCCATTATAAAAAAATAAGGGTAGTTAAGTTCTTTCATTAAAGGATAGAAACGTCCACTAATGATAAAAAAAGGAGAAGCACTCTGTCTCAGTTTGAAAAGTCTGCCAGATGAAATGCCATACTTATAGCAAAATTATGTTCGATGAACTGGTGTCTAATTCGTTTGAGTAGCATATGCGGAAGAATTATTTCATTTCTTGGAAGTAATGAGTCACCGAAGAGTAACAGTTTTAACCAGGTTTTTTTCAGAATAGGCATTCGATGTAGTGGAAGGTTTGAAATCCCCGTGGCTGAGGGTCAAATGAAGATGATGGAGGATATAAAGCCACTTTATCCAATTCTGTCGACTTTACTATGGCCTTTCTTGACGCGGATAGTCCTGTTTTTATTCCTTACCAACCTTGTCTATTTAATTCGTAATCTTGTTTTTTGTCAGTAGTGTTCTATTGCGATTGTTTCATCCGACTTTGAAAAGTGAATAGTATAACCTGTGCTGTTAGAATGGAATCACCTTACCCTTTAGTATACTACTGGCTATCTGTCCGCGGTTAATGAATATTACGTGGTTATCCGCTGTGGCTGGTGAGCTTCGATCCAAATATTCATACTTAAACACTTAGATCGGATCCTATAGACCTTAAATATACTGATCTACTCCAAGTTCGTCACTAATTTCTAAAAAAATTAAAAAGCTACAGCTTCTAACTTGGAATATCTACCAGAAAGCAGACAATGAATGCTGGGGGACCCACTGGCGAGCCGAGCCCTTCGCAGCTGTATTGTATAGCGGCAAAATATCGGCGAAACACAGGTGTATGAGCTTTTGGCTAGTACCTGTGCTGTTAGTTTGGAATCACCTCAGCCTAAAGTATAACATCCTCTTTACAGGTTAGTACACAGTCCCCAAGGCCGGTATTTGTAAGAAATAAAGAAATCGGTCGATCACCAGAAATGCTTATTCATTTTCCCGAGCTTTTGAACTCATGAATGAGTCAGAGATGTCGGCAGTAACAGTTATAAAGAAACTAGTCAACGACCAGTTGCTCAGGGGTGGAGGTGACTGCGCAGGACTGGACGCGGGCGCAAGATAAATGTGTCGGTTGACTGAGTTTACATCAGAAACGGAATTGAATTGGTGGCTGATTCCAAAGTTGTGAGCGATCGTTTTTGATGATTTTTCGCCCCGCGGCACAACCAACTTATGCTTTGTATGAACGATTTTACCTTGCGTTCAGGTCGATCTGCATAATTACAAGGATATTAAGCGGTATGCCGGACTTTCAGCCGGCGTTTTAATAAGTCCCTGATCTTCATGATGCAGTTGCACACGGTAGCCTTGGATCGGTGTGCACTCCCAACGCCTGGTTCCGCAGTTGTGTGTTTGGACACCTCTGAGACGTCTTTAAAAGCATACCATGTCGTGGGTGGGTCATCCGTGGGAAGGGTTTTCACATAGGCGCTGGCTCACAAGGACCTGCGGAAGGGGTGATAAGCGCGGCCATGCCTATAAAAGCCAAAGGTTTACTTTGAAATCCCTTGAGACAAGGCTATTTAGGATGAGGGTGCGTACTTTAACGAAGTTCCATTTGTTTGACCCAAGATAAATTTTTCTGGTTCTCCCGCACGAATTCCACTATCAAATATGAGCCAAAATATTACTAGCATCGACTCTGCCGCAGTGTCTACCGCTTGCAATCGGTTATGTAGAACGACTATTAATTTACTCCTGAGTAAAACGGCCCAATTGTGGCTGACACTTCACCTAACTTCAAATAGAAATGTTCATTTATTTCCTTGCCAATACAGCACGACTATTCAGGTTTCACTTTATAAATGGACATTTTGGCAAACTGATACCTGAAGCCAATGTTGTGTGCTCCACATCACAGCCTAAGTAACATTTGCCAGCTCCGTACTTGCTACACTTTTCCACAGCTTTCGCCTTGTAACACTCTATTGTTCAAGAGCCCCTCTGTGATATTTACTGGATTACAAAAGTCCTTTTGGAATAAAACCCCGTGTTATTTAGTCGAAACCAGCTTATCAGAGTTCCGCAGCAAACTTTGGGGAGATATCGTATACACTCGGCTACTAACGAGCCCTGAGAGGACTATCCAATTAACTTAGGTCAGAGGTGGGTCCAAGACATGCCCTTGGTGATTAACCCAAAGAATAATATTTTCATGTTTCTGAATAACTTAAGTAATTTGATTGACCCAACTGCGAGCGACTCGGCCACCTCTGCGTGTTATAGGCAGTGTGAAGAATTCAAGATTCCCAATCAAATTTATGTGGCTCGGAACGTTAGGATTTTGACTGTATTCAAGCCATGTCTTTTTCGTCGCGTACCCGAAACCCACCGAGGTTGCCGACTATATCATAAATGGTTCATTCGGGTTGGAGTTATTGTCGGATAGTGACTACCATGCGAACGAGAAGACTTTAATGAGCTTGCAACAACGGCACGGTATCTTCAATAGGTTATTTTTCGGCGGTTTGAAAACGCCCTAAACTGGTGAAGATTGCTTGCGCTTCACTCCGAAGACGATCCCAGAGGGGCTTTCAGATCAGGGTATATCACTGATCCAGAAGTTACCGGTCTCAGTACC